GTTTATGTGGGGTATATATATTCACTTTTACCATATTAGAAAAAAAATAGAATTTTAAAAATATTTTATTAATTTATTAAAAAATAATAAATGGATTACATGCTAAACTATTATACTTTTGTTACAATATAACTATATTTTCCAAAAGAAAACAAAAATTAGTGAGAAAATTGAAACTATTTTATAGTTTTACAAATCTCTATCACATCTGCTTTAATAGATGCCTGGATTCTCGTATTTGTGTCTGCATTCTAGCTGTGGCAAGATCATTCACATAGCTCTGGAGAACTTCACTGCGAATCCATGAGAAAATAAGGGTTAAAAAGACAAAGAATGGATTTATGAAAATAGTTTTGACCTTGCAAACACACTTGAAAAGATTTCAAAGGCCATACTTTGAGAAACTTTGTTATAAATAATAGCAAAACCCCAAACCCAGAATTTTAGGAATACATGTTTTTAAAAATGTAATTCCAGAGGTACATGCTTTTAAGTACATAATAATCTTTGAGCTGAGCTTTACTTCCAGTAGAATCAGTTACGTATTTTAGTTCTTGTCTTTCCCTTGAATTTAAAAATAATCCAGAGCCATGAAATTCTAAATCTGTGAAACAAAGAACAAGGACCTCAGCGCATCTGGTCTCAGAAAGGATCCCGGGGAGGGCAGTTATTACCCCAGGTACCACCACTTTCTGTGTAAACACCAAACAATTGTAGGAGTGCATGACTGTAATTTTGGTTTCCTGATTAATGTAAATTCAACCCTGCACACTTGCTCTTTGTACTGTCAGTTCCAACAAATAAGACTCCACTAGGATGTGGACAGATTGGGAGATTAGAGCCTATTTCACACTCTTGGACTCTTGGGTTACTCAAAGTGAGTGGCAGACTTCCACTTGATGGCCGATGAGAGGCAAGACGGGGCCTCTTTGTCTTGAATACCAACACCAGTGGGCTCTTTCAGCCTCTCAGAACAGATCTATCTCTGATGTTGAGAGAACTCATCCAGTGAGAAAAGTATTGTTTTGCCACTTGTCACAGTTGGGAAATACTAAATGCAGCACTACTTAATAAAGCAATTTAGCATGTAATGTCCTGTTTTTATATACTTGTATACCATCACCTAAGCAGAAGAGGGGATAGAGGGGAGTGAGGTAGGGTGGTGGTGGTGGTGTCACAATCCCTTAACTCTTCACTCTTTGTGAAATAACGTGATCTCCCTTCCTTCGTTCCTCCCTTATTTATTCCTACCTTTGTTCTTTCCTCAAATATTTATTATGCACCTAGTAGGAATGAGGCACTGAGATAGCTACAACCTCAAATTTTCTTGGCTACCAATTCTATTTATTTTAATTATTAAATATTATTTTTCCTAAATAAGAGGAAAGCATGTCCATTAAGGAAAATTAAAATTATAGTAAAATATAAAGAAGGCAATTATAATTCCCCACAACTAATCTTTGGGGGCTAATTTTAATAAATTCTCTTAGATATTTTCCCTGTGTTTTTACCTATTTTAGATGACATGTATATGTATTCAGTTTTGTATTCTTATTTGTTTAATATTGTATCACAAGCAACTTCAGCGATATTTAAAATTCATCATAAACATAACGTCAATGTCCAAAGTTGGTGATAAATATCTCAATGGAGAAATCTTAAATCTCATTTTATTGGGTTGTCAGAAAAGTCATGACGTATTTTTTTTTCTGTTTTTCATTGCAAAAATGCGTCATGATTTTTCTGACAACACAATAGATTTCCTTAGGATAAACTGCTTCCTGGAAGTGGAATTACTTGGGAAAAAGGGATGTGTACATTTTACAGCTTCTGTTTACATACAGACTAATTCCTTTCCTGCAGCGTATCAGAATTATACCACAGGGTGAGGGGACTCATGTCATTGTGAGGGGAAGAAAAGTTTGCCACCCCAAAATATGCCCTTTGGGATATGGATTATTTTAAGCTGGTTATTTTCAAGGAACTAAAAACTCAGAACCTTCGACCCTCCCTCTTACCTGCCTAAAGGAATTCAGATAGAAAAACCTGATTCAGGAAGGGAACCTTCATATATAATTCATATATGCTAAGGTGAATCGCATATTCACCTTAGCATATGTGAATTAAGTGTGGCAGACAAGGAGGATCCAAGCAAAAGTCTTTTTTTCAGACTTCCCTGTGTCCCATTGTTGCTGGGTGGCCTAGCAAGAATTAATTTACTGTGTCTGCTCATTCTCATCCACCTATGAATTGCCTCCTTTCCTGTGAAGTTCCAGACCCTTGCCTCTCTCTCCTTAGGCCAGAGTGGCATATAAGCCTCAACTGCTCAGTGTGTCCTCAGGTGTCATATTCTTAGGGAGCCACTGTATGTACATTCATAATAAATTTGGCCATTATCTCCTGTAAATTTGTCTAAAGTTAATTTGATTATGAGTCCTGCCAAAAGAACTTAGAAGGGGAGAAGGAAAATTATTTTTCCTCTGCCACAATTTCACCTTCACCAGAATTGAGGATGAAATATTTATTTATATGCCATCTTTGCTAATATGACTGGTAAGGACAAAAAATTCCTGTCTTTATAAAAATCTTGCGTGGGGTAAAAAACAACAACAAAAAAAAACTTGTATTTGGGGTAAATATTGACATAGAATCTTTAAAAGTGCAAGGAAAAATTTTAAGGTAAAGGTTTTATAATACACTTGTGCCCACTTTTCATTCATTCAATTAATGAAAAGGAGACAGAGCTTGGCTCACCCCAAAAGTCACTGTGTCAGAGTTCTACAGCGTGACAAACACTGAAATCTATTTTGGTTAACTTAATCAGAAGGGAAATGCCTTGGAAGGCCATCAGGTAGCATACCAAACAGACAGGAAGGCTGGAGAATCAAGCTCATCAAACAGGCAAGGTAGCTTGGGAGCTGGAATCAGAACAGGTCATACCACCCAAGTAGCCACTTAGGACACCACTGGCAGTGCCATTGGATACTCCCACCTCTCACCTCTGGCACTGCTGTCTATGGGCACAAAAGCCACTTTACAGATAATGGAATTATTTATAAAATGTCTCTTCTTTGAATCACAGACTCCAGTTGCAAAGGCCTGGATAGGAGCCTCCAATTGGCTGAACTTAGGTCACATGATGAGTCCCTAGTTGCTAGGGAGCGGGGACAGTGAGCACTGGGCTATTTTGGCTTTTATGAGAGTTTGGATTTGTCCACTGAGCATAAATGAATCTTTGCATAAATGAATCTGAGTGTAAATGGGGCTTTGGCTAGAAATAAATGATAAAAATGTATTCAAGTCTTAGGGTTTGCACCCAGAAATACAACTAGGCAATATCCAGAGTGTTTCAAGAAAGAAAGGAAAGCTGAGGGTTTCATATAGTAAAAACCATATTCCTGAGAAAATCAGTCCTGCATTCTTAGCCTCTAGATTGGTCTGAGATGGTAGCCCTCCAGATAACCAGTGGTTTGGATAATGGATGTCAGGTGGTCTAGGTACGTGGACATTCTTTCCTTAGTCCTGGAGGGGGTAACCAGAGGGTTAGCTGGAGGTTTGATGTAGTATATCTAGGCATTGAGACAGGACTGGAAAGTTCAAAAGTTTAAGTTCCCAGGCTAGTTAAAGCAAGAATCAAATTGTTTCCTCAGACCTCAACCTCCTTGATTGTAGTAATTTAGCAGCTTGCCTGTAGTGACTTCATTTTATTTCCCACTCTATTCCTCAGATTCTAGGCATCAAGACCATGATCAGTAACCATGATAAATATTTATGTGGAATTCTTAGTTTCATAATACTTTTTAGGAATCTGGCTCATCTTCTTAATTATCACTGGATTTTAGATTGTGTAGTAGGTCATGGGATGATCTAGTCCAGAACTGCAAACACAAATGTCTACCATATCCTCAAATGTCAGTGTGGTGGGGGAATGTTGAAAATTGAAAGGCATCTTTCAGTCTAAAGGCGACACCTACTACTTGGATCTGGCTGATGGCTGCTAGAACCTACCATGGATCAAAGGTTGCCAGTTCTTCCAGCTTTTTAGAATATGCCAAAAGTCTGAATTTTGTGATTTAAAAACTTGGAACCAAAGTCAAAATTAGAAAAACAGTGACAACCATTGCTTCTTAAAAAAAATCAAGGCTGCAGGCTGCTTCCAATAGTGAGACCTCTCCATTTTAAAAACCAACACAGGGAGATGGCCTAAGCAGTTGAAACGCCTGAGGCTAAACAGCTCACTTGGTGGCAGAGCCAGGGCTAGAAGTTTGGTCTCCAGAAGAAAATTAGATTAGGAAAAGTTGATGTTCCACTGCCCCTCTCTGCAATCACTTGGAAGTTACCTCCCAACCAAACTCAGGAAAGGTGGAAAAGTGCCAGCGTTTCATCCAGCAGCAGCAGCGTTTGTAAAATGTTTATGAATTGACAGAATCTGCCAAGCTATTTCTACAGCTTTTGATGTCAGGTCAGATTTTAAATCTTAACTTCCACTGTGTCTCAGTCATGGGGAAAATAAAAGGACCGTTTATAAAGCTGCAGAGAGGATGAAATAACATTTCATGTTTGGAGTGTCTGGCACAGGACCAGGACCATACTACAGACACTTCACACGATAACTATAATAACATCTAGAAGAGATCATAATAGTTTTCATTACCCATGGAGATGGGGAGAAATAGGACGAAAGTGTTTCACGGTGGGGTAGGTTATGGATAAATCTTAAGGGGGACCTCCTCATAGGAGGTATAAGTGGCACGTTCGCCAAAACCTATCCTGGCCCCGACTCCCATGCGAGTTCACGGTCAAATCCAGCTATATCACAGCGTGTATACATCGAAGTCCTGAAAGGCACCCACTCCCGTCCACTTTGGCGCAATTGATGGAGAAAAATGGAAGTCCAGTTGTTTCCAGGCGGAGGAGGGGACGTGCAAGGTTTCAGCTGAGAAAAGTCTCACCCTAATGTTTTACTTTCGCTCTAGGCCAACTGCAGACACCTTCCACCTGCGAGCTTTTTCTGCAGAATGCGGGAGGCCGCCGCGGAAAAGGGGGCGGAGGCAGAGGCGGAGGCGGCACCCAGAGGCCGGGGCAGGGGAGGCCGGGACCATCGCAGTGGCAATTTCTTCTCCTGCGGCGGCAGCAGGGAAGGCTGCTGCAGGCTCGGGATCGACCGGCCTGCGCGTGGGTGTGCGAGAGCGGTGTTTTCTCCCTGCGCTGAGGAGCCACGCAACAAAGGGAAGAAGGAGGAGAACAACGCACGCAGCCAGAGCGAGTGGAACTAGCTAAGCTCCATCGGTCCATAGAGGAGAACGGGAGGAGGCACAGCCGGAGCGAGCGGGCACCTCCACGCTGTGTGCCGTAGCACCCGGCTGCAGTGCCTTCTAGCAAAAGCCAGCGCAGCCGGAGCTGCAGCGGCCAGACGGATGCCAAGGCCACACGGCAGGCGCGGGGACAGCCGCTGCAGTTGCCGCCCCACGCGGGCTCCGGACATCAGGGGTTGCTGGTGAGTAGGCGCGCGCGTGTATGTGTGAGTGTGAGCGCGCACTGGCACAGGCGAGTGTGCACGCCGGATCCGTGTGCCCAGTGGCCTGGCGCGCCGCCGGTTCCTCTTCCGCTGGCGGCGTCGGGTCTCAGGCTTGTTCCGCGGGAAGAAAATGCGCTTTGCTGGCTGTTCACTTCCTTCCAGCAAGCCGAGCAGCGCAATCAGCCACCTCCGCCTGCGCTGCCTCTGCGCCCCCAGCCGGCCCCTAAGGGTTCGTTTCACCTTGATCGGGAAGGCAGGAAGCTGTTGCTCCTGGTGGCAGGGCGGGACCCTAGCAATGACCTACACGCTTGGGTTTCTGGTTCGGATTTGGAGATGATGTCGGCATTCAGAGAGAACACCGCCCTGTCTTTGGGGGTGCTTGTTGTGGAGAAGGGAGGGGCGAGGGTTGGAAAAAACAGACCCTTACCCCTACAGGAAATTTGCAAGCCTCTGTAAATACTTACTTTTATGCCGTTTATGAGCGACTCTTAAGACATTTCCCTCACCTGAGTAATTTAAGCCCTAACAAAAAGCACAAAGAAGTGGAAATGTCATTAGAACATAATTTTCCAGAACTCTATAAAACAACCCACACTGCTGATATCCAAGGACCTAAGGTGCTATAATTACCGAAATTTAAAAAAGAAAATACATACTAATTAGTAATTCAGGAGACAGAACCTGATCTAGAGGATTGAAACAAAACCTTAAGTGTTTGGGTGGCATGGAGGTGGGGGTGGCCTTCTGGAAGCCAGTGTTTGGTAGGTAGTAAGTAAAACACATCTTTCAAAGTAAGCTCCAGTGAGCACACTGCTTTCCCAGCATCCTGCTCGTCACCGAGAAGACTATGAAGTCCTAGGTTTTAAGGGGTTTCCAAAATTATAATGAGTATCAGTATGAAGCTGATTTGTGATTTCATGATTCAAGGCCCTGTCAAGGTCAATATGGCAGATTTGTTCCAAAAGATAAATTACATCTGAAGGTTTGATTTCCTATGGGAAGTTTTTGGTGGTGGTTTTCTGTGGTGGTTTTATAGAGATTAAGCCACTGAATTCTCCCCCCCCTCCACTCCCACCTTGTTTTAATGGGCAATCTTATGTTTATGGGAAGGATGTTCAATTGAACTTCAAAAATGTACTCTACGACTGCATTATAGTAGGCATTTTGTAGCTAAAAATATCTGTGTTCCTTTTTAATTCAAGTTAATGTCTTCAAGAAATAGGTTCCTTCTGTTTACCATTTGCTCCATTACAGCTGCTTCAGCCAATGGCATGAAATGCTATTGGCGATCTACCTGGAGAATGACCTGGCTGCTTGTTTCCTGGTCAAGCATATGTCTAGCACGTTGTTGGTGATTTGTGAATATCAGCGGGGATTTATGTTATCAGCTGGGTTCTTGGAATTTTAAAAAGAAACTCGTTTTCTTCTACTCTTTTATAAAACAGATAGTATTTTAACCATCAAGCAGAGACTCCTAGTCCTTTACCCATACTGTGGCCTTCAGGGACGGTTTTTGCCTACTTTTGCCCTGTTTCGTAGGATTCATTCATTGCCAGTGAAAGGCTAGGAGAGAGAAATGAGACGAGCATGCCTGGAGGGTGTCCTCAGCAGAGATGTTTGCTCCTGAAGAAGAGAATGTCTCTGGGGTTGGCTCCTGAGAAGGACAGATACAAGTAAAGAAGAGTGACTTCTGTTTACTTTCAGCACCTAGGACGTCACTAAACCAGTTCAATCATATTCCTTTTTCAAGGACTCTGTCCAAGTCTACGTAGAGCAACAATCCAGGGAGTGAGTTTGCTTTTTACAGAGAAGAAAAGTCTGGTAATTCTTTCTCAGAATGTGAGGAGTACAAGAAATATGTAAATGCTGCTCAGGAAATGCCAGGTGCCTTTATGGAGATGTGTTTACCAGACACACTTTAATCCACTGGATTTGTGATTCTCTCTAATGCTAGCATTTTTTTCATCAACCCTGTGAAATATTTATAAGTAACTTCAAATGATACTATGAGAAATGAGTCATAGTCAGCCCTGAAAATAATAGAGTCAGCTTTCCGTCCCTTAGGGCTAATGGATCACGGATGCTCAATAAGTATTTGTAAAATGAAACACAATTCTAGAATGCCTTTACTTCCCAACCTAAGTGCATCATGTCTTCTGGTATTGATTATCTTTAGCCATAGCTTTATACCAGCTCTTTCATCATATTGAAGCCCAGTTGATATATTCAACTAAAAAGACCAACTTCCTCCCCGAAGGAAAAATAAAAATCCCTCCAAAATAAAAACTAACAAAAAAACCACTGTATTGGTACCAATGGACTTGCTTATTCTAGCTCTGTGAACATGTGAATTTTCCAGTTGGATGTGTGATTGTACATTCAGAAACCCTGAGTTGACATCAGAATGTTCAACTCAGGAATTCTCGATGTTGCTACATCTGGATGTGCCTTTTGTCAGAAATTATTTGCATTTCTAAGCAAATCAGATGAACTTCTAGTGCAATCCTACATCTCCTCATGCTATGTGGAAAAGCCAATTAAACCTTTGTCAAATTGCTAAGCTTTCAAAGCACATGGTGTTTGATTTTTCTTTCTAAATTTTAAATTAAATCTGTGTTATGTTTGTCCATTGATGTGGCTGGCTTAGAGTCTAATTCAGACTGGGGGTTACTTAGTAACTTGCGTTTATTAAAAGCTCCTTTATATAAGCACCAGTAATTCATATGTTTTAATTTGCTCTAGTTAGCCATTTAAGGTCCTCTTGGAAATGGTTGCATTATATAAGCTTGAATATTAAGGGTGTTATGACTTCTTTTCTTTTCTTTTTTTTTTTTTTATTAAATCTAACTTTCCATTCCCAGTCTTTAGAAGTTTACCCTATGATTCATAATCTAATTTCAGGACCAAAGATAAAAAGCTGTCTGGAGTTTGCCTGAATATTAACATTATAGTGCATATTAATAATGCAGTTTTTGTCTTCCAATCCAGCTTGTTTAGTTCTGAATAAAAATAAAATGAGATCCTTAGACATTTAAACTTTTTTTTCTAATGGGCTAGGTCCAAAATAAATAAATAAAATAAGATAATTGCTTATCACTGGTTTGAAGTAATACAAACACTGCTATTCTCTGCGTAATGAAACATGGCCATTCTTATCAAGTATTTATTTAATAAGTAGGTACTTGAGCACTTGAAATAGAGTTAAAGGCATGTTCTTTCCATGGAGAAGGAAAAACTTCAGGCAGTCAGATATCAGTATTCTTTGTTTTATGTGGAGGAGAAATAGTAAACCTGTGGCACATATTCCACATGCATGGAAGGCATCACCAGTTGATCACAGCATTCTTTCCTGCTGAGCCCGGGTGTAACCTCAGAGTCTCGCAAACATTTGACAAATATTTAGTAATAAATATTTGTTATTAAACATGTGCTATATGTCAGGCACTGTATAAAGTCTTAACACACATGGTATCTCAAGGATGATGGAGTGATTAGGAACACGAATTCTTTCTGCCATTTACTAGTTGTGTGTCCGTGGGTAGGCTTCTGACTTCTTGAGCCTCGGTTTCCTCATCTTTCAACTGGGATATTAGTTTCTATCTCATAAAGTTTGGGGGAGGGTTAAATAAATAAATAGGTATAAATGAAAAGTGACTAGAAGTGTCTGGCAAAAAGTTAAGTGCTGTATGTGTTTGTTTCTGTTATTATTATTGATTCATAAAACAACTTTATACAACAGGTACTATTTTACGTATTAAAAAATTGAGGTACAGAGACCTAGGTAAATTACTCAGGGTCATAGGCTGGTCAGTGATAAAGCTGGGAGTCAAACGCAGACAATCTGACTCCAATGCCTGCTTTCCGGACTGTCTTCTATACTACATGCTGGGTGCTGGGGATACTGATTAGAGCGAAGAAAGTGGGGGCTTGTTCTCATGGAGATTCAGGGTTCCAATCATCTACATTGTAGAACATGCCATTTCCAATATAGAATTCATGCCCAGGTTGTTGTACAAAATTTTTGCTATTTTTTCTTGATGTTTTGGTGTTTTATAAATAGTATTTTTCATTAAGTTCTTCATTAAGAAGTGTTCCAATTTCTGTTTTCACTTATGCTTTAAAATATGTTATTTTTTGTTTTTGCCTAACAGTTGACATATCTATGCACTACATATTCATTTGTAACATCTCTCCTTCTATCCAGTGATTCTTTGCTGGAGGCAGGGAGGATATGTCTCCCTAATATGGTGTATATGTATCTCATATGTTACATAAACAGTGTGTAATACCATGTAATTATATAATATATTATATACATTCTATACAATGTAGATATTACATGCATTATGTTAGGTATGCATTATATAAATGTATATACATATATGTATACATATAATATATGCATTACATATAATACAATATACAGTATATACAGTAGTACATTATCTTAGGGAGACATTTACATTCTTTTTTTTTTGTAAGCTGAGCCATCCTGTTACTGGTTGGCAGCTCAGCGGCTACTCAGCTCGGGCCAGGAGTCGAACTACTGTTGCACAGAGCTCAAACTCTTGAGCGAGCTCTTAACCGACTGAGCCGCTCAGCCAGCCCCATGACATTTACATTCTATATAAAGAATCACTGGGTATAAGGAGAGATGTTACAAATAATTATGTGTACATTAAATCATTGAGCAGGTATCAATATTCTGGAAAAACCTCAAAGCCATCCACCTCTCCTCACACTCCCAGAATCTCATATATCTTCCATCCATGACTGATGGTGGAGTTATGATGACATTTTATAACGATTTTTATTCAGAATATTTTATAGAGTAAATTTTAACTGTTCTTTGACTTGTTGAAGTAATTATGTCTAATTATAAGAGGCCAGATTTTAATTATAGGTGGGAAGACTGCTGTAGCAACAAAGAATAAGAAATTCTTAATTCCCCCAGAGCTTCTTTAGGATGGAATATGCCA